TCGGGAGGGTTGGGGGTGGGGGCGACCGAGACAGCTGGCGCTCCCCTGGGGCTACTGCAGAAGTGAAGGGCGCCTGGTCCCGGCATAAAAAGAAAAAGAAGTTACGTCCAAGATGCCGGTGCTGAGGACTGGGGTGGACTGGCCACATGCAAAAATGGCAGGAAGGAAACTCACGCGGGAGTGTCAGGTCTGTGCTGGGGTGTCCTTGACACTTTGGGGACCTTGAAGGGGCAGGGGATCCGCCCTCCTGGTCCCCCACCCCTCGCAGGGGCAGGAGGAGTCCCAAGGCGGGCGCTGGCGGGGGCCTGGGGAAGCCATCCTCTCCCCAACCCGAAACCAGAGCTCCAGGCATTAGTAGGAAACCCAAGTGGCAGGAGGATCGCATTTCAAAAGCTCAATAGACTGGCTGCCCGGCCTCGTTGGACTAGGACAGGGCCAGGGGAGCTGACGGGCGGGGACGGTACCAATGCCCTCACTAAGCTCCCGTCGCCCCATCCCAGTGGCTGCAGCCCAGCTGCGCGATCCGATCCGAGACTCACAGGCTGCCTGATTCATCCCAGCCTCCATGCAGAAAGCCCCAAGTAGGGTCTTGGGAGCGGAAAAGAGGGTCCCCGACTCCCTACCCGAGCCACGCATGTGTTGTTTCACCCGGCCCAGCCTGCAGCCAGACCCTGGCCTGCGCTCTCTGGGGGCCCGGGGCCTACAACTGTGCGGGGCCGGGAACCTGGGCCAGGCTGTCACAGAACCAGGCACCCTGTTTCTTAGGGCGGGAGCTGCACCCCCTCTCCCACTTCTCCGCAGAACCTGTCTCCCTGGTAGCTGAGCCCTGGGCTCCCAGCTGCAGCCAAGGAGCTGAGAGAAAGAGGCCAAGCTGGTCCTGGCGCGGGCTGAGACCCCCAACTGGCAGTCCCAGGCCTTCCCACAGCAAATGCTCGGCCTGGAGGGAGGGGGCGGGTCCCAGGCCGATGGAGAAAAGCCCAGACCCCCACAGCTCCCGGACCAGGCAGAGGGAGTACCTGGGGTCAGGGTGGTCGCCCCACCTGCCCTGGCCCATGGGCGCTGCTGAAATCCCCACTCCTTGGCGACATGCAGGAAGATACCTGGGCTCTGCTCCCGCGCCTGGCCACAAGCATTTTTTTAAAAATAATTCTTTATTGTTGAGGCCACAGGCATTTTTAATGGGGTTTGTTCCCTTCCACCTGTGGCGTCATCTGCTTGGGAACAAAGGACCGTCCGGTTTTTTTGGGGGGGGGGGGGGGGACAACGGGACATGGAGTGGGATGCTCGAGTAAAAGCTTCCCCTTCACACTTACCCTGCAGATGGCAGAAGAAATTAAAAGGAAAAGCTAAGGAGATACACACCCAAATCGGACGCGCCCAAAGATTTCTCTGCACCCGGACACTGCAGGTACCTCCCCCTCCCGCTCCCCCTGAACCAGGAGCCCTGGTTAAGGTGGACCCTGGAGCCCACTGCGGTTTCTCCGATCCTCTCGGGTAAGTGACTCACTGTTCCGTGCCTCGGTTTCCTCCTTTGTAAAACAGGCGTAAATGCGGCACACGCCTGCAAGGGTTAACTGGGAGAGTTAAAGGAGACCCCTTTTGTGGGGCGCTCCACCGAGTGCCCGGCACGCGCACGTGGCCCTTCCGTGCCAGCTATTTTTATTGTTGTTATGTGTACTTTGAACGCCAACATCTGCAACATATATACGTCTTGATTATACGCATCTTGATTATAAAACAACCAAAGGCATCGACATCCGGAACTGTCTTGGGCATGAACTTCCAAATGCAAATTGGAAGAGACGTCCCCAGATGGAGCGCGCACACGGGCACGCGCGCACACGCACCCACTCCTGACACCTGTGTAGCCGGCCCCCTGAACGCAAGCCCAGCGCCTACCCTCGGGGAGAGGCCACAGCGAGCC